AATTTTATCAAAGTAATAGTATTTTTACTTGAGTAAAATATTGTATTACTCTTTTCACCACCGTTAGTTATAAACAAATTCTACAGTGGTATTACACACTGAAGTGTTCCCCTACTATTTATGAAGTTTAGGCCTACTATTTGTCATAATTGCTGGTGCATTGAGTAGGCTACTTACAACTGCCTGGGGTTCTGTTGGGGCAGGAGGCTCCAAAAGACAGATATTACCATCACAATCAATTGGGACCAACGAAAAACCCAACCCAAAGTAAAATAAATTGAAATATAAAAAAAATACCCTATATAAAAAATAACACATATGTAGACCTCTTACATTTTATGAAGGCTTGAATCTTCGGGAGTGACTGGCTCTGATGAAGGAATTCCCTCAGCCCAAAATGCTGCTGCACTGCTATACGCTGGATGCTATTTAGTTATTTAATGTCAAATGTTTGTAAAGTCAGGTAGCCTACACCCATGATATGCTCAAGCCTTACCTGATTGAATTATGTTTATATATTTCATTTTCAGCTGCTGCCACGTTCTTTTAATGCCTGCAGGATTGCACCTACATGAAAATTAAAATTAGGTTGAATAACATGTAGGCCTACTGTTCTTCCAGTTTAACAGTTGGGTAAGTTACTCTAAAATAGTTATTAATTACTAACTACAAATGACATCTTCAACAGTGTAATTAGATTAATGTAATAATTTCTATCTCTAGAATGTATTGGTCTACTTATTAATTACTAAATCCCATATCAATCTCAACCACTTGAACAATACAAGGAGAGTCAAGAAACTGCACTTTTAATGCTTTCAAATTAACAATATACAATTGCATGAATTATTCTTGAATTGACCAAAGTGTATAGAGGGAGAAGGTAACATTAAAAATATACCTTTTAAAAATGTATGTTAAATCCACTATTGGTTTATACAGAATTGTTCTATAGTATGCAGTAGCCTATTTAATGTAATTACATCAGATTTTATTTTAAATTACAGAAGAATTAAGAGTAATCCCTTTAATTAAATTACAATATTTAGATTACTTGGCAATTAATTACACCCAACACTGTATAACAGTAATTCCTCTTTTTGTCTGGCGCTGTTGCCATGGTGACTTGTAATATTTGCGCTCCATTGATAATGGCTTTTTACAGTTGTGGTGCATGCGCTTAACTCAGAGTCAGTCAACTTAGAGTTGATTGAACTAACTCATTTCAGCTGTTCTGTAACCGAAAACTCAGAGTTTCCCATCTCAGGGTAAGTCAACTCAGAGTTCAAGTTTTAACTCAGAGTTGGTTGAACCTCCTTATTGAAACGGGCCCCTGGCCTGTTCCTCTCTCATCCTTCAATGTCGTTGCTCCTCCTTTTATACTTCCGGAGCTCTTCCGTGAGATTCGAGACCGGTGCGAATCCATTGAATTCGCCACAGAATTAATTACATCGCTGTGAGATCCAGTGAGAAACATTCAGATTTGGCACTTCGTTCTCTCACGGGCCTCGGCCTCGTCCTGCTTGCCACAGCGAGTAAAACAAACGATTATCAGTTGAAACTAAAAGTATATAGGCTAATATAATTTCCTGACAATTATATGAGCCTGATTTCGACGCCGGGGAAATACATACACACTGTAAAACCTGATGAGTTAGTTCAACTCAAACCGTTTGAGGAAACCGATTGCCTTAAATCATTTAAGTTTATTAACTCAAACAATTTAAGCATAAAAAAATATTTGATTTGTGTCCAAGTAACTCAATAACATATTGTTAAGATAACTTGGGTAAATAAAGTTAATAGTACTAATTCCATTCAGTTAATATAACTTAAATCTATGAAGTACACTTTAAACCCGGATAAGTTGGCAGAACTCAAAACACTTTTAATAGTATAAACTTAGTTAGCTTTAAAAAGCTAATCTCCTAACGTAGTAAATGCTAACATATTAGCAATAGTATGTTATACAGAAACACTTGCTGTATGAGCGCAACAATATAAAGGGATTCTCTCAAATCAATCTGCATGCACCACTTGTCACCATGATGGTAACTATCCTAAAGCCAACATTAACAGAAATTCTTCTAAATTAGCATAACAAAACATTAATCACTACTAAATCTCACACTTAACATTAATCTTACACAAAAAAAAAACATTATATTACACTTAATTTTAACATTTACTCTCCCTTTCGAGTGCCATCGGCAAAGCATGCTGGGAAATAGATATCCAGCCGTTTCAGTTAAACTTAAGTTCGTCTAAATTAAAATAAATAATTTCATAAAACTCAAAACAATTAAACAGTTCAGTTTACTTAAAATATATCAGTTCTGTGAACTTGAAAGAAAAAGAAAGTGCTAAATACTCATAGAAATTAATTTGACTGAACTAATTCGTTTAATTTAAGTTTGTCCTACTCAAACCAATTAATTATTTTGAGCATTAGGGTTTACAGTCAAATGTGCCTGTAAACGCTTTATATAAATGTATATTGGTAGGTCTTTTAATTGATGAGTTGTTAATAAAAATTTTAACAATACAATAGGGTATGATTTTACCCTTACATTCAGAACACAAAATGATAACTGCAAATCCACCTTTCGCTGCCTGGAGTCCAGTTGTTTCTGTGAATTGCAGCGATCCATTTGCTTCTCTTTTCTGTAGCTTTTGGCAATCTGTAAAAAGTGTTGTTCTCCTGTACCTGAAACTTTTTATATATTGGATTAAAGAGTAGAAAAAAAATATAGGCATTATTCATTAAAGAATTGATAACAAATGAACTGTAATGTAAACATGGAAACATACTACAGGGAATTACAAACAATAGAGAGTGTCATTCTTGAAAACATTATATATCTACCTACAATGATGCCTTCGTAGGGAACTGAAGTGTTTAATTATTATCAACATGTAATTTTTTTTATAAAAAATAGCCTAACACTATAAATGAGTTCCAAATGACACTTATTTTTTTAACCCCACAGTTTTCAAGGCTCTAAAGCTCCAACATTAGATCATTAAAGTAAAAACGAAAAGAACAGGGTTATCATTTCTGAATGAAATTAACTCTCTCTCTCTTTCTCTCACCCCTCACAGTCACAAGCACTCATTATTTCTATTGTGATTAAAAATAATAATATTCTTGATAGAAACAGCCAGAAACTCCATCAAAACTGCCACTTTCGAACTGTAGCAGCTTGAGTGCTTATGTCGAACAATTAGCAGTACAGTCTTTCTTAGCTTTGGCTTGAATGGATGGTTTATGCAGATTTAAACGGTTGAGTATGAACAGAACTCAAAATAAATGAACATACATGTGTTTAGCTAACATGTTTGCATGTGTGCATTATCACCTCTGGTTAAATTCACTTATTCACTTTGACAACGATCCCTTACAGAATCAAAGCACTTTACATTTACATTTACATTTACATTTATTCATTTAGCTGACGCTTTTATCCAAAGCGACTTACAATTGCTATATATGTCAGAGGTCGCACGCCTCTGGAGCAACTAGGGGTTAAGTGTCTTGCTCAGGGACACATTGGTGTCTCGCAGTGGATTCGAACCCGGGTCTCTCACACCACAGGCATGTGTCTTATCCACTGCGCCATCACCACCCACTTTAGCTGTGTTTGTTTCTAATGTGTCAGGGGAATGTCCTTAAACACTAATCAAAGCAATATCATACTTTCTGTTCTCTTCTTTTAAAAGAATGTCAAAAGATGTGCTTGAAACGTTCTCCTGGCCATTTTGAACGTGCGAAAAATGACGGAAGCTTGCTTGAATCAAGAGCTCTGGCGTAACTGTGCGCAGCGCGTTACAATATTGAGTTCTGATTGGTCAATCACTGTTAGTTATACATGTTTAACATAATACACAACAATGTTAATCTATGGGGATGGTGGTTTTACAGAGGGGATACTTTTTGTCTTTTTTTTTTTCAAATTTTGTTTCTGCCTCCACCCTCAAATCGAGCCCTGTGAATTAGGGCTGCACAATTAATCGAATTTTAATCACGATCATGATTTTGGCTTCCCACGATCAAATTCGTGTGATCGAGCGATATTTAAAATGCGTCATTGCGTTCAACGCTCTGTATCAAAGTTTTTTTTTGTAAAGCCAATCTAGCGCTCCCTAAACCACTGTCTGATCACGTGCCTCCATGAGCCAATCAGAGTTGTTCCCTGCACCGTGCAGCTTGGTTTCTAGATGTTGACAGTCACAGAGGACAGAGTAACGTGAGGAAATAGAAACAGATAGCAGTCGGTCATAAGGCTATAAACTTAAAGGAGAACTCCGGCGCAAAATGAACCTTTGGTCTAATAAAAGATTGGTACCTAGTCAACCGTTCTCTGAGATTTGTTTTCATGATAATCGAATGTAAAGAGTTTTATCTCTAAAAACTGTTTAGCGTATAATCATGCTAGTAATGGGGGCATTTAATAAGTAAAAAGAAATAGCTAGTTAATACCACTAACAAGGCTCAAAATAGCCCCACACTAACACAGTAACATAATGAGGGTCCCTACATTTTATAAAGACAGTCCACTTCGTGTATACAGACAGGAGCCATCTTTGGAAAACAGGCTCGACTAGTCAAACCACGAAAAAACGCAAAGGGGAAATAGAGAGTGATCTTGCCAATGTAAAGTACTTTGCAACTACAACGGATCTGTGGTCAAGCAGGACAATGGATCCGTATCTCAGTTTAACATGATGGTCCTGTTATTTCTCTCAGATGTTGGACAAGCATTAAACAAACCTTTTTTTAAATGCAACTGCATCCAAATTCCCTATATTTCTATCAGAAAACAGACATGTTCAAATGATTTAAATGTAAGTAAAGAAATTCAGTAACTTCTCTTTGAATTTGGTAGATCTGGTGTCCATCCCACAACAATTCACCAATAAATACTGGGAATATTCCCATCATCCTACAAGAGAAGGACAAACTGCAGGAGTAGCAGCTGAAATCTGTGTGACTGTTAAAGATGGAGTTTATTAAAGAGGAGATTGAAGACATGACTGATCCAGAACCATCCAGAATAAAACATGAAGATACTGAGGAACAAACAGGTTGGTGTCCATTCTTGATTCTTCATTGTTGTTTGCTTTGGTAGGTGTGAAATAATAATCAGTATATGAATGAAATTTTTTATAGAAATGTTTATATAATCTTAATCGTCATCTTTTATGTACTTTTAATCATAATCTTGTAGGCTATAACAGTTGTCAAACTAATTTAGATCATATTAACAAGAGAATGACAGAACTAAACTTTGGCACATCAAATGTCTGGTACTTGATCTCTGTTGCTTTCTGCTATTAAATCAGGGTTCACTTAAACTGATTCTAATTTTATGATTATTTTAGATTGGATGGAAGTGAAAGAGCAAAGACAACAACTGGAGGAATTTAAGGAGGAACATCATGACGTTAAAATTCAAGAAACAAAAGCCAAAAAGCTGCACACCTGCACTCAGTGTGGAAAGAGTTTCACACTGAAAGGAAACCTTAAGACACACATGAGAATTCACACTGGAGAGAAATCGTATCCATGCTTTCAATGTGGAAAGAGTTTTTCTCAAGCATCAGGTCTCGGTATTCATCGGCAGGTTCACTCTGGAGAAAAACCATTTAACTGTGATCAGTGTGGTAAAGGTTTTAATTCACCTTCAGATCTAAAACTACACCTGTTAGTTCATTCAGGTGAGAATCCTTATGTGTGTTCTCTCTGTGGAAAGAGTTTTTCAAGACTGGACGGTTTTAAACGGCACCAGAAAACACACGATGAAGTGAGAGATCATGTGTGTAGTGACTGTGGGAAGAGCTTTACTAGATCTGAGTATCTGAAACTGCACCAAAGAATTCATACTGGAGAAAAACCTTACAAGTGCTCATATTGTGACAAGAGTTTCACTCATTCTGGATCTCTGAAAAAACATGAGCGAGTTCATACTGGAGAAAAGCCTTACAAGTGTTCATATTGTGACAAGAGTTTCACTCAGTCTCCGAACCTGAAATCACATGAGCAACTTCATACTGGAGAGAAGCCGTACTACTGTACTGAGTGTGGGAGAAATTTTAAAAAATTGTCAAGCCTTTCCACTCATATGAAAAAATGTTGCAATGTATCCGTGTAAATAAATACATTCAAGTAAATGTGTGAGATAAAATAAGGAGTTTATACTAAACACACAATATCAGTTTAATTTTGTGTATTTGGTCAAATACTTTATTAGAATTTTTTTTAGACAATTAGAAAGACAGTTGAAACTTAACCAGTCAACAACTCTTACAGTGTAAATAAGTCGTAGGGTTTTTTCTGTCAGAATGGGTTGTGTGCCAAATATGTCTTTCTTTAGATATATTCATGTAATTTACTATATTGTCTTCTGATAGTACATGCAGTTATGAGAAATAAAACAGAATCAACGTTTTGTCTTGATTAATCTATTTACTGAACACAAAGAATGAGTTATATAGTTTTATATAGTTTAATCACTTTCATGGACTTTTAGTTTGTTTGTCTTCATCTTGTGGCTCCGCCTCCGACCTCAGATCACCTCTCTTTGGCTGCGTTCGAAACCGCATACTCAATGAGTAGATACTTCATTTCAATAAGTACTTACTTAACGAGCGCTAAAAGAGTAGGTACTTTATAGCCAAATCTCGTTGAGTATGAATGCGAACCGGACATCATACGCCATGTTGACGTTATCATGTGACCTACGACGTGTTATCACAAGCGCAACAACTTAAAATATAATACGACACTTTTAATTCATCTATCTGTAAATATCTTGATATTGGTGAAACTTGCAAATTTTGTGGTAGTATTGTTGAAGAAACAGCGCCCATTTATTTTGTGAATAGGGTTGATTTAAGTTGTATCTCAGTAGTTAAAACACTACAAATTAACTTGAGACAACATTTTTATTATTGATACATTATGAGTGATTTGAGTGATAAAACTCTGCATGTGTCTTGTTAATTACACTGACTTTTGTTCTCTCTTATTTTTACATTTATATGAGGCATTTAAGAACCTTTTCATTTGCTCTTGTCCAGATATGTTGGCCTACACTACAGGAAAGGACTAACATGGTCATTGTGGATATTAAACTGAATTATCTGAATTCACAGCTGATACACCAATTTTGTTACACTCATTGTTTGAGTGATTCATCACAAAATGTGTACAAATTTCTCGAGTTCCTCTTTTTAGAAATTAACCAGAACTTTTTCACCACAGCTTAAAACTTCTTCCGGAACGTACAGAAACCTTGTGGAACGGGTCGATTCTAAAGATGATCATGTCATTGTAGTGATAATCAGATAGGTAATCGAGCCAGCTCTGGTATGTGGAGTAAATTAACTAGATTCTAATTTACTAAAGTCTCTTCCATTCGTGAAACAAAGGGGACAGTGTTTTGAATTGATTAAATCATTGACTCATTCGCACATGCAGCGTCTTCTCTGATGAATGAACAACGAAGTGCTTTGCTTACTAATCGAGCCAGCTCGGGACATGTGACTCGAGATGACATCTCGTGAGTCCGGCCAAAGACCACGCGACCCCTTAGGGTCTCCTCTGTTTTAATCACCTCACACACAGAGCATAAGTGTAATAACGTGATCACCACCGCTCAAATGATTAAACTCATCAACTCAGAGGAGTACGCACACACACGAAACTCCCCGGAGGGGGAGTGAGCGAGAGTCCACCACCCCGGCAAACTCTAACTGAACTCTGCTACACATACACACGCAGAAACACTCATTCATGAACTTTTAAATGCCTACCTCTTTAAACGTATGAAGTGTTTCTCTTGTTGTGTTTTACAATCCCCATGTGACCAAATTGATGTAACTATAAGCTTTTATGGTATGTAATCAGTTTGACATTCGTTTAATCACGAAAATCATGTATCTGCATTTTACTAGCCCTAGGAATGTCGCGCTTGGTATGATTGGAATCAGAGGAATCGAATAAGATCGAATCACTGAACCAAAGTGCAACATGAGGCATACTTTTATCAATACCAGTTTAGAAGTGTATTTTTACTAAATGTTATCTTCCATGCACATGACCCGGAGGGCGTGTGTTTTCGCAAACACAGAAGTTTGACAACACGCCTCCTCCCAAACGATTGGATAGGACACGCAAGAAAGGCGTGCCTCTAGCTCCTTCAAAACTCGAACGCCACAATCTGTTCGATGCAGTTTCTACGCCACATGAGAGCTTTTCCTGTGAGAGGATCCATGGCTCCTTCGGGGAGCTTTCTCCGTTTTCTTTAATCTTTCTTTATTTTCGTCTTCGGACTTTTCTTACGTTTAGTTTCAGTGAAATGAACGTAATCGGCAACTTCAACCTGAAGGAGACTCTTCGAATCTGCAGCGACCACGCTCGCCCAGAAGAGCTGAGAAAGCACGCACCCGCTCCTAAGGACACGCACGCAAGACGCGGTTTTCCTCAGCAACACCAGGAGAACCAAAGACCTTTAAGCCTTCATTCAAACTAACGCGCTTTGCCCGCTCTGAAAGACCACGTGAACGCATGACGCGAGGACAGAGACACGCATCCTTCTTCACATCAACCACAAAGAGCTTCACCTGTGCAAGTAACCGTTTACCATTCTTTCGAGGTTTAAGATCTGTTGATTCTTGGTGTCTAAAAAGGTTCTGTGTCTATGATGAATTTTGCCAAACCAGAAGATCTCTCATCTTCTCACTCTCTCTCTCTCTCTCTCTCTCACTCCCAATCTTGCGCTCTCGCAATCTCTCTCTCTCACTCCTGTTTGTTATTCGTCTGTCTCATTTGTTTTACTGTTTACTGTACATACATGTATCCCGTGTTTAAATGTAGAATTCTGTATCCGTAGTTTCATTTTATTAAAACCATTATATTCTTGATTGTTTTGAATGCTCATATTTTACAAGTCAATGAAATGCGATCCTATAGCTACAAAGCTTTACAAGTTGTTACTATATCAGTAACGTAAATTTTATAAACACGAGAAAATTAATGTTCACGGCCGGAACATTGAGATTTCTTGGAGTTTATAAAAAGGGATAACGTTGTTGAATTAATTGATGGGTTAATCTTACAGCCGTTTGCTGGACAAACCGATTGTTTGATAGCCAATTGATTCCCTTAAAGTTGTCTCATATAATCGATCTGAAATGAGACCATTGATATATGAATGAGGAATTATAATTCGTTATGATTGATCATTCATATATACAATCGATCTATTTTCAATTTCGATAATTTAACTGTAATATGCAATATATTAATCATATTCATGATTAATTATTAAAATTCCCTATGCATAATTTGAGCTAATTAAGGCACATCTCGATGTCGCTACATCATTGTATATTTGAAGGAGGTGAGAAAACAGCAACACTCAAATGATTTTATGTCTTTATCCATAATGTCCATGACTGATGAGTTTGTTTCCTCCTGTAGATCCCACAAAATATTCCAGTGAATTACCAGATACAAACGAAACAGGTTCTTCAAGTGAAGAATCTAAAGCCAGCTCTGATTAAAGTGTACGATTACTACCAAACAAGTAAGATTTAATATGCCAGTGTTAATGCTTTGATCAAGTGATGCACAATGTTTATTCAGATTTAATCCATGTACAGGTTTCCATTGTTGTACGAATGTGAACATCTTCCTTTTCCTTCAGGTGATCAGTCAGAGGCCGAGTAGTTTAATATTATAATGTTTATTCTTCATCCTGGACAAAATTATTTCCAATCATCAGCTTGAACAAACCCCCAAATCCTCATCAGTTTTTGGCTATGTCTCTGAGATCATGACTTATCATGAGACAATGCATATGATTAATAAAAGTGGTGAAAACAACTTGTGAAAAAAAGTGGTGAGCTGGTTGAACTGTTGAATGTGTAGCAACTACATGCTGAAAAGATGGTAACATTTCAGAATCAGACGAGGTTATTATGATCATATTATTATTTTTTGATATCTTATCTCAGCTCTACTTTTTTATCTTGTTTTGATGCACTGTACACCCTTAAAAATAAAGGTGCACACCTTTTTAAATCGATGCATCACATCATTAACTTTTATGTCAATGCACCGATTCGAATCAGTGAATCTTACCATCCCTACTCTGAGCTGGTGTGAGTGAGTGGAGGTGGGGCTAATTTTCATATTCATAGAACCATGTACTAAATGAGACAATGATGTGGAGTTACATTCAATCTATTTTAAGGAGTGCAAAAAAAAGAATTCAAGGAAAAACACTTAAATATGTCAATTTGGAGATCAAAGATGAGTTTAAAGGGATAAAATGATTATTCAAGGAAAAACACTTAAATATGTCAATTTGGAGATCAAAGATGAGTTTAAAGGGTTAAAATGATTGACTACAGGCCCTGGGACTTTAAGAAAAAGGCTGCTTTGAAACAATCTACATTGTTAAAAACGCTATATAAATGAAGATGACTTGACTTGAGTAAGAATATGCGGCCCCTTTAAGAAACATGACACGCTGCGCACTGAGAATGCGCAGAAGAGAGAGAGAGAGAGACGAGACGAGCTGAAAATTTCACTAGTTGAGGCTGAAAGTGACGCTGTTAACGATCGTGATTGAAGGACACATGTGGAATATTTTCTTCGGATGCCGTATATTTCCAGTCTGCAGGTGAGAGATGTTACCAGATTACAGAGTTTAACATTAACCAGCTCCTCGATTTTGTGTGTTTAAGGGCAAATTTAACAAAATGCGTTGTGTGTCCTGGTTTCTTATTATTAGAGTGTAACGTTAATAATATGTTGGCAGAGTGTTTTCACAGTCTCTGTTCAGGGCTGGCCGGAGACACACTGGCTGCGTGGCGTGAGCGTGGCGTTTCTGTTGCGTGTCAGCTGCGTCGCGTTTTCTGTGTCTTTGCACACCAGAAGCGTGTCTGACGCGACGCGGCGCTGCGTGGCGTACACGAATACATATTCGCTATATGTGACAGAGGCCGACAGACCAGTCTACATTTGGATTACTGTTGCTCTTGCCTTTACGACAACAATTTCAACTTTTATCACGCATCTTCCAAAATCCGAAAAATAGGGAAACATGCGGCTGTCTGTTTATTTCAATAACATTTACAAATTTTGTGTAGCTTTAAAGAGCCTATATTTAGCCTACCTGATGTTGGACCGTCACTCAGAAGACACACTACGATGTTATTGTAGCCTATCCTAACTTTATATCCTCCTGAGGCCCAGAAAGTTTTTTCAAAGAATTTTTTTCATTTTTTTTTTCATGTAGGCCTAATCACATTGTTAAGAGCATTAGAAACAAATGAATATATGGGCTATATTTTATTCATATGCTATGACCTCTGTAGTGGACACCAGGACTCGACTGTTTAAAAAATAAAATGACATGAAATTATATAGGCAAAAATAATGGGATAAAAAAAAAAGACATTTATATCTGAATTTATGTCAAAACCTAGATTTTCAAACATCAAAATGTAATTTATTAATATGTATTCGTGTACAAAATGACATATAAACATATTTTCCTATACTATTTTGCCTGCAAACGCTTCCAACACGCTTGCGTGTCGCGTGAAAAATAGGCGTCGGTTCTATTTCTAGCATGCACGCGTTTTCCGCGCCGCGCCTGAGACGCGCGTGTCACGCAGGCAGTGTGCAAGCTCTAACCTGTTAACATGGGAGCCGAAATAAAAACGGACACGCCACGCAGCTGAGACGCTCACGCCACGCAGCCAGTGTGTCTCCGGCCTAACTGATTTTACTAGGAACTCTAGTCTGTTGTAGCCCATAACTGAATTTTTTAGTAGCACCTTGGCTGAAAATTTAGGGGCACACTGCAACGCAGTTATTAAATTTCCCCCCATTTTGACTTTATTACTGACAAATGCCTTGGTAATAAATAGACTTAACGTACAGAAATTACAATTTATAGTTTTAATTTAAGTGTACAGGGCTCCAGACTAACATTTGAGGGCAGCAGCACCGAGAAAGTGTGGGGCTGACAATAAAGCACTGAGCTTAATTTGAGGTGCAGATACAATTAACTTACATTATTATCATTCATAATGTCTTAATATTAATTTAAAAGCAAAACGAGGGAAAAATCGATATTAGGGACGGGAGTGAAAATAGTTACTCACTCCTCGGCAACCTGCACCTTTTGGTTACAATGGTAATAATTTAATCTCTTTTTTATTTTTAAAGCTACACTGTGTAAGATTTACTCCCATCTAGCGGTGAAATTGTATTTGACTACCAACTGAATAGTACTTTTTAGCCCCTCCCGTTCCGAGGGTGTTTTAACCAGTAGCACCTCAATGCAGTACATAAGATCCACAGGGAGGAGTCGGATCAAGATCCGAGGGGTGGAGATGGGTAGGATTAGGGGTGGGTTTAGGGATTAGGGGTGTGTTTAGGGATCAGGGGGCGGAGATGGGTAGGTTTAGGTATATGTAAGGTGGGAGGAGTTGGATCTGGATCCGACTCCTCCCCGTGGATTTCATGTTCTGCAGTGAGGACCATCTCGTTTTAACCCCTACGGTGGCCGTATTATCTGCCGGCAGTCGCGAGTAATCTCCCCCTTGCATTCGTCACAGTGCCACTGAGTGTAAAAGCGCGAAAGGCAAAGCTTGAATTTCCAGGTATGTCCCTCTTTAGTTAATGTATTTTCAAGATGGAGGCGCAACAGGGCTGCTGCCATTCGAGCTACTCGCTCGTATGTATTCTGAATGGCAGATTCTACGCTTATGAGAATACTTGATTAGTCGGTGGAAGTAGGCTAATTACACATGAATGAGCACATATAATTTTGAAAGAACAAAGTGTTTTTTGCTAAGAATCAACTTAAAAAATGACTCAGTGTAGCTTTAAATTAGTGTGAGTTTTTCTAAATCTTAAACTAAATCCAAAACTCCCTTTCTCCGATACTGAAGCCTGATTGAATCACTACTGCACCTGCAATATACAATGGTGTTCAAGTGCGGGAAGGCTAGCCGCTATATAAGACCGGGCTGAATGAAATTGCTTTGGATCTTTCGATTGAACGACCACAAGGCAGGTTCAAGAAGGTTTTTAACATGCCTGCTTACGCAATGTCTCGTTCCCTACTCTCAGGGAACCATGGTTACGTGAGTAACCCGAGACATTCCCTTTCGAGCTAGGTCTCTTGACATTTGCTTTGAAGTTGACGCGATTTATTGTTTATTTGAATAGGGACAGATACAAAAAAACATAGATTATTCCATAAAGAACAATCCGATGCCTGTATCACAGTGTTTATAGCCAAGGCTAATTCGCAACACCTGTCCCTAGAAGGGCTTTTAACAGTTAGGATAATAAAGGAGTAAAAAAAATGACAGTGAATACAATAAAATGTCTAGAAACCAGTTAGCACCAATAAAATTGGTAAATAAACACATTCACTCGAACTTACACAGATGCACACCTCACATACACACGGATATTCCTTTCATATGGCATGATTACACTGCTGCTGCTGTATGAACCAGGCTTTTGTTAGTTTTCTAATGGTGGATAGTTTAGTTAAAATCTTTATATTTGTAGGAAGGCAGTTCCACAGATTGGCTCCTTTCACTGAAAAAACATTTTGGGCAAAAGAAGTTTTAAAAAATGGAACTTTACAGTCTCCACGAGTAGCAGCTCTTGTTGATCTGGAGGGTTCCAGCCTGTTCACAAAGTTACAAAGTGGCTCAGGTGCAAGTCCAGTTAAACATTTAAAAAACAACTTAATGTGTCTGAGATTAACAAAATTTACCAAATTTAAGATTTTATGTTTACTTAAAATATAACAGTGGTGGAATCGACTGGGCTTTTCATCTAAAATTTTTAGGGCCCGGTTATAAAGCCTCTCAATAGGCTTCAGGGTAGTTTGGCTGGTCTGGGACCAAACGGTGGTGCAGTACGACAGATGGGACAGGATCATAGTGTTCAGAAATACATGAGCACATTCAAATGTAAGACAGCTCCTGATCATTCTAAAACAGTTCATACTGGCCTTCATTTTTCTTGAAATGTTTTTTCGATGGGGAACATAAAATCCCCGCCATGTAAAAAACAACAGCAATAACACTAACCCGAATCTAATAGAAGAGTAGAACGGAAGCGAATACACAGCCCAAGACTCAAGAGTGTGTGAGCATTGAGCAACGGCCAAGCCTCCACGTATTGGTCACCGGACCAAGTTGAAACACTCAACCAGTCAGCTGGCAGTCTGCCAAGACGGCGCCAGCGCCTTCAGGAATGCTGAACAAGCACCAAGTCATTATATAGTGTGTGGTAGGGATGTAACGGTAAGAAAATTTCATATGAGGATTATAGTGACCAATATTATCACGATTATCAATATTATCACGGTTTTGTTAAAATGAGATGAAAATTTTCAAAAAGAACTGACACAACCACTGAAAACATTTCAACAAGTTTTATATTTGGAAATCAACAAATAAAATTAGCAGCTCTATGCACTTTTTTTAAGCAAACGCATGATTAAATTTAATGACCGTCATCAATAGCAACGCATTATAACACAGACTTCAAGCACATCCCGTGCGCAGAATGATGTGCTTGAAGCAACATGGAGCCATTGTGTGCAGCCCTTCGCAATTCTTATTAAAAGTTCAGAAAACAATGGGAAGAGATATTGATGCTTAGTGTATCATATCTGTGCAACAGT